ACTATTCGTAATTTGACATCAAGTAATCAATAACAACTGATCGTAGAACATTTATGGTCACTTTTTCTGTTGATATAGAAGCATTTTGACAAGCTTCTTTAGCCTTAGCTACTGTCTCGGTTATTAAATCTGTAGATCCCCAAAGTACACGTGGAATTCCTTGAAGTCTATTACGAATAGTTTGAACATGCGCGTTAATTTGATCAGATGTATACGAATTGCCACTGAACTCTTTTAGCTGATTGCGTAAAACATCAACATCCTTCCGAACAGCCGCTCCGTATAGTTCAATAGCGCCATTCGGTAAATACGGATGTTCGATCATAGTTAAATATCGTGGTCGAACTATAGTACCACGAGTTGCCAAATTCTGAGAGTACCATTTCTCGATTTCTGACGGATCAGTAACAATTTTCAACTGTTCTGTTATTTGGCCAGTACGAGCATCAACATGATTTCCCATCTCATCAATAAAGATGCACCAGGCCATGGGTTCATCTATGTCGATAAATGGCAAAGCGTTTCCATAAAGTGGTTTCTCATAAGTAATCGATTTATCACTCAATCGTGATAAGAAGCTTGCAATTGCACGAGCAGTGAGAATCTGATGAATCAAGTGCAAGTTCTCAGTTGAGATGCCAATTTTTGGTGCAAGCTCACGTATGATCTTTAACCAGAATACTCCTCGATTTTCATCTTGATCAAGATCGGTCAAGGTCTTGCGTGGTTTAACTAGATCCGGTAGCGATTGTGTGATGAAATCGGGAAACGTTCGACTTGATGCATCCATTACCCAAGCTATTCTAGTTGCTGCTAATGGCTGATATGTCCAGGCAGGATCTAGCGGAATTTGTTTCACATATTGGTATTGTTGAAGACAAAATGGTAGTTGTCGTATAATAGATAATAGATCGACGGTACCGTTTGATTTTTGCCATATAAGAATGCGAACATTTTCGGGTCCTGGAGTTGGTTGATCATCTATTGTTGACATTGACAAAAGATCCAGAATGAGTGATAAAGAATCTGAATTTTCTAAAGCATAAAGTGCTCTTAATTGTCGTAAAGCTCCGGACAAAGCTTCGCTATTGCAAAGTAGGCCATCAATGTTAACAGGAACAAATGATGCAGCATTATTCGATAGTGTATCACGAATTGGATTGAATAGAACTTTGTTCACTTGTCCAATAACACTTGATATTATGGAAAATCCAGTAACAACAACACCTTGTGGTCATATGTTTGATATGGATGCTATCAACGAATATTTAACAGTTAACAACACCTGTCCAGTATGTCGAACAGTTGTGGCAGGTATTACGTCAAACCATGCATTCAAGAACGTTATTGAAGCCTGGTTAGCTGAGCAGATCTAATGAATTTTGGTACTAGGACAATTCGTTGCAGGACAATTCGTTGTGGACAATTCGTTGCGGACAATTCGTTGCATGGACATTTCGTCGCACGGACAATTCGTCGCAGGACAATTCGTTGCAAGAATATAATCCAATCATAAAAAATTTTTATTCTTCGACAACGAAGCAGCTTATTAATTAAGTTTGAAAAATGTATTTCAACGATTATAAAACCTATTGGAAATATTACCAATGACTAAGCCTCAAGTTTTGATCTCGGACAGTGCGGTAGTCATTTTTTTCAGATAAAAATTTAGTTTGTTCGAGCTGTACATCTGTTGAAAGTTTTCCTGTACCAATGAAAGTGATGCAGCTCACTACTTTTTAATTTGCGCTGCAGCTGAATGCTACTGGCAATGGAAAACTGTTTTGAAAGTATTACAAAAATTTAGAGTTCACCAAAGATAAGCAGCCTTGGTGTCGTGAGAAAAAAAACTTGCAATTAATTTCTTCTTTTTAACTCTCCACGTTCGGTGTATAAATTCTGTTCGCTTATGGACAATCACCTGCTTTTTTGTGCATTGAAAACTAAACTAACTTCATTGAATCGATGATTTATACAGTGGCAGAAATAGTTTTGATGATCCCTTGTAATCAAAGATCTTTTTGCATCCTATACACATTAATTATTTAGTAGAAAATGGATCCGGTTTTGTCTTGTAAGGATTCTTTATACTGTCGCATCTTGAGATCAAAGCTAGAGGTTTAGTCATTAGTAATATTTCCAATAATTCTTATTATCATTTTAATACATTTTTCAAACTTAATTAATGAACTACTTCATTGTTGAAAAATAGAACTTTTTTATGATTGGATTATATTATTGCAACGAATTGTCCTGCGATAAATTGTCCATGCGACGAATTGTCCTGTAACGAATTGTCCTGCAACGAATTGTCCATGCAACGAATTGTTCCCGACGAATTGTCCGGTCACCATGAATTTTCCAATGATGAAGAAAAACAATCTTTTCTATACTTATAAACAAGATATTCATTTTTGAATAAACTAATATACATATTAAATGATTGATCATACTTCAATGCCCGTATGACATTTTGAGTGTGGTTGTAGATAGTGTCCTGCGTGACGGTCACGATGACGATCACGCCTGATCGTGATCGTAACGATAAAAAATTCGTGATCTTGACTACAATAAGGATTCGTGATCGTGGCCACAATATGGGCTTCAGTCACGATTATTTATTATGCCACATAAATTTTCGCAACCCAGGACATTCAATCCGACAGTAGGGTCGACTCGGATCCGACAGGAATCCGATCGGATTTTATATGAATTTCCGTCAATCCGACGAAATCCTATCGGAATCCGGGAAACGAATCGACCAACGGACCCGTAGTGTTGTAATCCGATAAGATCCTACTATCGGAACTCAACGGAATCCGATGTCCCAGTTTGACTGAGCTCTAATATTGCTACTAATTAGTTATTGGTGCTGAATTAATTCAATAGGTTTTTCCGTCGGATCCGTTAATGGATTCGTTT